TCTTTTCTCCCCCCACCCCAACTGTTTGCACACCTACATCATGGTCTTTAGAGGGGGACCCTGACCGAGTGGACACCCTCCACCCTCACTACTGGTGGGTTCTTCTGCCACTCATGCACACAGATACTCAGCCCAAAAGCAGGCCCTGAACATTTTTTGTTTGTTTGTTTGCTTTTTTTAATACGGGAAAGAGCAGGAAAGGGCAGTAGAGATGGAAAGAGAATTTAAAAACAAAACAGGCCAAAAATTAAATAAAAGCCTGAAGCATAGCAAAACAACCAACAGTGGCATCTTGAAATCTCTCAGGCAGCTTTGAAAGCAAGAAGCTAAAGAGAGGACATTAAAGTCATATTCCTATTAGGCTACAGATTTTTTTTTTTTTTTATCTTCCTCCTCTCCCTTTTCTGTGATTATAGACTGTGGTGTTCAGTCTAGTTTTGTTTTAGTTTTTGTTTTTTTGTTTTGTTGTTGGTGGTGGTGCTGTTTTTGGTGTTTTATGCTCCCCCTTCGAACTTTGAGGGACACTTTATCTCCCTATGTTACCCAAGAAGAGTCAGCAACTGCTGCCATACAGTCAAGCTACAATCACACTCTATAAAACACCAAACTCCAGGCAAGAACCAACACCAACTTCCATATACCTGGGAGGCAGACAACACCTGTGAACGTTACTCTGAGTTAAGTGATAAACAGAGTGAATAGGGAAGCCCACAGCCTGATCACATCTACCTGGAAGTAATCAGAAATCAAAAACATACCATAACACATACCCAATTAAGTATTAAGGCCATAGATAAACACTAAACATGTCCAAGAAGCGAAAGCAGATGGCCATATCAGCACATGTCCAGAAACAAGATAAAATGTCTAAGACAAATGACCTAGAGGTAGACCTGGAAAGGAGGGCAGGCCTTGGAAATGCCTGCGAAGGAATTCAGAAAAATGATTATAAAATGTTTCAAAACACTTTACAATGGAGTTGAAAAAAATAAGGAAGAAGTCTGGAAAGTGCTACAGGAACAATCAAATAAAATAGATATCACATTGGAAACAATTCAAAACCTATAGAATGAGGTCCAAATGATCAATAATAGAATATCAGAAATAGACAATACTCTGAAATGGCAAAGGAGTAGAACAGAAGAGATGGAAAGCAGAACAAGTGAGCTGGAAGATAAATCTCTCAATACCACTAAGATAGAAGAGCAAACAGAAAAAAAGGATAAAAGAATCTGAAGAAGGTCTAAGATTAATGATGGACAACATGAAGAAGAATAACTTCAGAATTATTGGCATTCCAGGAAGAATCACACAAGTCCACAGAGGAAATAGTTGAAGAACTGCTGGAAGAAAATTTCTCTAACATCCTGAAAACAGAAAAGATAAACATTCAAGAAGCTCAACGAACCCCAGGAAGAATAGACCCCAAAAGAAAATCACTGAGACATATCATAATCAAGCTCT